TATATATATATATATATATATATATATATAGATAGATAGATGTGTGTGTGCTATTTGTCCAATGTTAATATAGCCAAAGTCAAATATCAATCTTAGCGTGTGTGTCATCTTATTCCACACACACAATAAGCATTATTGTTGATTCAAAGTAATCGTCAGAATGTTCTACTTCTTGTCGGAAAGGTGGTATTGACCGACCCCCGCCGTCATCGGATCTTTGCGGACGGCGGTTGAGTGTTTTTGTTTTTTTTTTTGGAGGGGGGGGGGGGTTGCCATTTGGAAAGGAGGCGCGGCGACGACTCTGCTAGTCGCTTGCAAGCAGTTTTGCGCCGCTCCTCCTGCTCCTTGTGGAGGACGATGATGTCATATGTGGCCCTTGTTGGCACTTGCAGACGCCAAAGGCACCATCCGCGAGATCGTGCTGCCCAAAGGTCTGGACCTGGACCGGCCCAAGCGCACGCGGACCTCCTTCACGGCCGAGCAGCTTTACCGGCTGGAGGTGGAGTTCCAGCGCTGCCAGTACGTGGTGGGCCGCGAGCGTACCGAGCTCGCGCGACAGCTCAACCTGTCCGAGACGCAGGTGAGGGCCGCCCACCCACACCTCCATCGCTTCCAAACAACACCCCCCAGGTCCAGTTTTCCCGGAGCACCTCCATTTGTCACCATTTGCAGGCCGCCCAAAAGCAAACGCCGCGCATGTTGCACAAGACGATACATTTTGTCATTTTGACCTGACTTCTAATTGCCAAATAAAGGCTTCACTCGCCAGAAATAACAGCAACGAGCTGATGGCAATTCATTCTTCAAAGTGAATTATCATGCATCAAAAAAAAAAAAATGAGAGAGAACCATCGGCCACCCTAAAAGTTGTGCAACAATGCTGAAAATCTGGCAATGGCCTCCTTTTCACGACATCCAACAGGTGCGCAGGTGTTTGCTTTTGGCCCATTCAAAGCTCCGGCGTGACCGTGAACAGAAATTTCAATCTCTCGTCCCCGCACAAACAAAAAGATCGCAAAAGGCTTCTTCTGAAGAGAAAGAAGGGTGGGGGTGGGGGTGGGGGGGCAGAAAAGAAAAACCAACACATTCTTACAAGAGTGAAGCTCGTATCTTTGTTGTTTGCAAGATGATGACTTGCCCTGATTGATTGATTTGTTGTTCATTGGAACATGGCAACTTTGGGGAACACTTGAAATTCCTTTCTGGCATTTCGGGGGACACTTTAGGACAAGGAGGAGGAGGAGGAGGAGGCCCGCTTGAAAAGGGACTGTGGCATGTGTACACAATGTAAAAATCCCACACAAGCCTGTCCGATGTTCCATTTTGTCGCGAGAGAGGAAAAAAAATCAACTTGCCGCCACAATAAAGCGAGGCATCGCCTGACGGCAAGGAATTCCCCATCATGACGCGACTCCATTGGTCCCTCACGGTGCAGCCTTCCCTTCTTATCGCTCAGGATTGTGCGGAACTTGCTTGACTCGGGTTTTGCAAATCGGCTGTCAGATTTCGAGCAGCGGGGGGTCCGCAAACGGAAAAACGCAAGGCCCACTTGAACGTTCGCCAACGTGTTGGAGATGGTCTGCATTGGCCTTCTCTTCAAATTTCCGGGCAAATAGTTGGGGGAAGAGCGCCCCAGATCGAGTTCAGCCGTTCCACTCGACTTTTACTGACATTGGAGCAAGTGTGTGTGTGTGTGTGTGTGTGTGTGTGTGTGTGTGTGTGTGTGTGTTTTGCCGCCGCCGCCGACATGACATCACGTCTGAGCGCGGTGGCAGCGCGTTCCAGCCTCGAGGCGAGCGGCGCGGGTCCAGGCGGGCCGCGTGCGGATTGTTCTTTGTTGCGGCCCAAGCGGACGGACGCGCCGGCGGGCCGCTCGCGCCGGCGACAGGAAGTCAGACAGTCGAGCAAGCTTAGCCGCCCTCGCCGCCCGCGCGAAAGGATCACCGCTCGCTTGCCATTTCGGGGCAGTTGGTGAGCACGCGTTTCTTCTTTTTGCGTCAGAAAGGCCGCTGAGGGAATGGCCAATCCGTCCGGGATGCGCAAGCGGAGCCAGGCGGGTTTCTCGCCGATCCTTCGCAAGTCTGCAGTCCCACCCATCTCCGAGCGAGGCCTTCCCTCCCTTTCCCGCACGACTCTGCCGCTCGCACTCGCAGAAGCGAAACCAAAAACGCTCAGCGGCTTTCGGTCGGGCCGCTTCACGGCGGCCCGTCGCCGAGTCGCGTCTGAAATGGTCTCGCGCCGAACTGGCCCCGAGTGGCAGGAGCCCTCTCCGAGAGCCGCGCCGAATTAGCAGGGGGAAAAAAAAATCGGTTCGGACGCGAAAGCTGCGAGTGCGTGGAAGAAACGGGCGCGGCGCACGGAATCTTGTTCATTTGGATGCGGGGCGACAAGGAGAAGGCCTCAACGGAAGGGCGTCGCTCCGCTTGAACGCCAGCGGTTTGTCGCGGCGGTCCCGGTCACCGCCCCGAGCGCTTTGGCGCTCAGGAGGGATTAGGGCGGCCGCATCTATCGGGCCTCCGATAAGACGGGGTTAACCGCCGGCTGAACCCGGCCGGCCGCGCTCACGGCGACGGCGCTCACGGCAACCGCTCCCCGCCAGCCCTCCAAAGGGCGCTGCTTTGGCCGCGGGCGCCCTCTTTTGATTTGCTGAGCTCTTGTGCCGCCTCGCCAGGGGGGGGACCCGGCGGCTCTCCTGCAAGCTCAACTTCGCCGCTTGAGCTTGGCCCCCCCAAAGGGCCCGCGGGACGGCAAAGCGATCCAAGCGGATGACGGCCTCATCCTCTCGTGGACGTTCTCCACTTCCCTGGGCCTCGGCGTGGCGATTTCTGAAGGTGCGCGCGGGCCGGAACCCGTTTTCGCTGGCCACGCGCTTTCACTTTAAGTACGACCGTTTCAGACAGCTGCCGAATTCACGCTTGGGCGAACGCAACCGCGCAAGCGGCCGAGCTCTCGGTGGCGACGCAGCGGGGGGAAAAAAGAACTCGGGCTTCCCAACCGACGACACGATCGCGGCGAGGAGTCGCCAGTCTTGATCTGGCTTCGGATTTTTGGGTAGCGCGGTTGGCGCCTGCCCGAATGACCCGCTTGTGTACTTACTACACAAGCAATGGCAATGTCCCGAAACATCTTCTTCAACACAGCAACAAAGTACTTCATGTCATTTCAAATCAAAAACTGTCCCCCCCCCCCCCGGCCCCCTCCCGACAGCGGTGGACCACCCTCTTTTGTCACAAGTATCGTAAAATATCGATCATGCCCCAAGTTGTCATTCCTTGTCGATGCAGCACAGCAGCTAAAAAAAAAAGAGCCAAGTTGCCTTGTCGCTTTGCTTCGAGATGTTTGGAGGCGTCTGCCCCCCCCCCCCTGCACAGTGTCAACAAAATCCCGTGAAAAACGGCGCCGAGAAATCACTTTATCTATGATGAGGGAGCCGCGCTTACGAGCACTTCCTGGACATGTCGATGCCATGTTTTCCATCTGGATTCATTCCAATTGGGGGACTGTATTGTACACAAGTAAGGGGGGGGGGCTTTGTGTGTGTGCGCGTACTGCTGACTTCCATTTGCGAGCGCGTTGGCGCAAGGATGATACAGGTCAGGCCAGATCCAGATTCCCCCCCCCGGGTAATCTGTGCCCCAGCGCTGACCCCTGCATCCCATTAAAAAGGATTTACGCGCAATAGTGTAGATGTAGTAAAGGCAGCTTTGCTTTCTTCTCCTCTCATCAGTTTCCCTCCAATCAAATCCCCGGCCATGGATAGTAGCTTCGGCCCCGCCCCGCCCCGCCCCGCCCGGAGGCGTCCGAGGAGCTCTCCAGCGCGCGCGTTTCCCCGGCGTTGGCGCGGCTCCGCGAGCCAGCCCGCGATCTCACGATACGCGTCGTGGCCACCGGCCGACCGACTCATCAGCTCGCTTGGCTGAGCCTCCCGATCGCTCCGCCCTCACCGCGCGCCGATACCGTCGCGCATAAGCGCTTGAGCTGCATGGGGGGGGGTTGGAGGGGGCGAGCCACACACACACACACACACACACACACCGCACATTGCCGTTGAATCAAACATGGCCGGCAAACGTTTGCGGAGCCTTCCTTGCCCGTCGCATTTAGCCATCGCAGTGTCCAAATGTTGTACGCCTCCGCGCCCCCTAGTGGTGCACCAAAGGATCGCCGGCAGAGTACAGCTCACTTGCACGGAAGTGCTCGCTCTTCACCATCGGCGCCAGTCCAACATATTTGCTCGTTGATCTTGATGACCGGAGTCTTTTCAACACGTCGTCGACGGCGGCTTTGTGTGCCTTGCCGTGATTCATCCCGGTAGGCTGATGCCGGTCACTTTCTCGCTCCCGGATGAGGCGGCATCCGTGGGACCCGAGCGCTTTGTTCGAGTCTTGAATCTGATGCGCGTGAGCGAACCTGCCGGAGCCGTCGCTAAGTTCGTGTCAGACTGCCTAGCGGGGGCGCCCGCCCGGATGGAGCGTGAATCTGAATCTGTGGAAATGCCGTGCCGCGGTGTTGCCGGCCTCGCAAAAAAAAAAAATCCGCTTCAATATGAAAAGGGGGTGTTGGCGGTCGGATCCCCCGGCCTTTGCGAGCGTGTCAAAGTGTCCTTGAGCAAGATCCCGGAGCCCCATTTGCTCCCGGTGCAGCGTCATCAGCGGCTAAAGCGCTTTGAGTGCCCGAGATAGGAAAGCGCCATGCATTGACCGAAACCGAGAGGCGGAAGACGTTGGGGTCGCGAGCGATTTGAAAACGGCCGCTGTTTGTTTGTCCGCCGGCCGCTGCAGGTGAAGGTGTGGTTCCAGAATCGTCGCACCAAACAGAAGAAGGACACCAGCAAGGATTCGGACAAGCGCACGTCGTCGTCGTCGTCGTCGTCTTCCGAGTCTTTGGCCACCTGCAACATCCTGCGTCTCCTGGAGCAGGGGCGGCTGCTGTCGGGCCCCGCGCCGCCCGCCCCGGCCCC